TATTTTTCATACTTTCATTACTTATAGCACAAGGCAGGGGAGATGAGGATGAGGATGAGGATGAGGTACCAGTCGAACAGCGAACACACACTTACACATCAGGGTTGTCAGCTGGCTGGAGTGAGATTTTCAATTCGAGACAAGTTTACACGCATGTATGTAACACTTTTGTTACATTGTGAATCGTCTGCAAGGTTTGCAAACTCCCCCAGCACCTTTGATGTAACTAATTTTTGGTTAATAATGGAATAATATAGAATTGCTGTAAGATTTTTTGCACAAGTGTGAGAGTCTGAAACCGTGAGTATCACGCAAGATGTTGTGTGAGAGCTGGCAACCCTGGCATATTATGTGAAATTTACATTCACTAATTTACCTCACTGTATGCTTCTGGATTGTGGCAGGAAGCATGCACAACCACAGGGAGAATATATAAACTCTTCAAAGACAACTTGGAGCTTTGCCATGATACAGTGCTAACCGCTAAGCCATTGTAAGTCATCGCCCTCTAGACGTTTATTTTCCTGTGCCCTTGATTAATGCTACAATAACTGTACAATTATTATATGGTCATAAATATGATGATAAATGTGGTTAAAGTATTATTAATCAGAATTTCTATCACACAAGATGGGATTCCATTGCAGAAATTACCGAAGACAGGAATTCCACTGAGAATCCAAAACCAAAAATGGGATTAACATGCTACATCTGACACACAGACATAAATAGGAATGAACAGCAATGCCAACCAGCTCAAAGACTAGATATGTGACTTCAGGGAGACAGTTGGGGATCTTAAAGACTGAATGGTGAAGAGCCAATGGCTAACAGCCTAGTGGCACCATGCAACGCCAAAGCAGTAGAGAGGCGACATGGATCAGTGGTGACAGTTACCCAGGAAACAACATCAGGTTGTAATTTTTTTTTTTTAACTTTCAGGCATTATCACATTATCACATTCACCAAAAAGCTACATCTTAAAAAATAACACATAATGAAATCACAGAGCTTAATAACAAGGATCTTTAGCACATTTTCATAGTACTATACACTATTTTTAACTCTATCCTCCTGAGACCCCACCCATTCATTTATGTCCATTGTAGTGGACATTTTGTTTTTGCATCTATCTTTTCACTGATGTAAGGAAACATATTTATTCCTGTTGTACACTAAAGAGGACATGCTGTGAAATTAAAAATAAAAATAAATTTGAAAAAGTCTAAATTGTAAAATGCCTTATTTCCTCCAAAGACAAATAACCTAAAATTGAAGGACACTTTTTTCCTTGGGTCTCAGGAGGATATTCCTATTATGTTAATTTAATTATTTATAAGTAATGCCACAACTGATTGGTTAGTCCTAAATAACACCCACTATTGGTAAATAATTGTGTATTGTTTTGCTGGTTGCCTTTGAGCAAGAAGTCATTACTGTTAATGTAATTTTCCTGTAGAGTTTTATTCATTTAGATCATTGTCTATGTTATCCTCATTAAGTAATTTCCTCCATCTGTTTAACTGCCATTAAAACTATGCAACTCGTGCCATTTTACACAGTAAAAAATATATATTACTTTCCATAAAGGTAGTTAGTAGTTTGAATAATCAGATTTTCTCAAATACCTCAAATGTTATTTTAAAACCTCCGAGATGTACAGTAATACATTTACTGTTTTGTGCAGCCACTCCTTGGGGAATCATCATGCTTGTTGAGGTGTGTGGTTTCATTTTTATTGGATATGCTCTTTGCACCAACCCATGTTTATGACCTATCCGTCCATTAAACTTAGACATTATACTAAAGCAGCATATTAGGTTCATAGTCAGGCAGACATGATAATCCTCAATCTCCTTGAATGTAGTAATATTAATGTAATATTATTCTCTCATAATAGAAAAGGAAAGATTATGATCATGTACAGTTCATCAAAGGTAGTAATTACCCATGTACAACAATAATATAATATTATTTCTCCAGAAAATACTATTTTCATAAAATTATGGGCCATTATAGCAGAAAAATAGTCTGTACACATTTCTCCATACTGAATAAAATCTCACAATGTATGTAACCTATAACCACAGCTTTAACACAAACTATCAGCTTGAACTATTGGAGTGAAATATTAATTCCTACTGTACAGTCTATATGTATTATCACATTTCCTACTGCTTACTAAGCAATCTGTTCATTATACCTGGTGTTTGTGTAAAAGTCATGATCCAGAAGAACAGATGCGGAGTGAACCCAAGGGATTTGCTAAGATACCTGCACAGTGCAATGGTAGGTGCTTCTACTATATGTGAGTCCTTCATTAAATACATATTTGTCTAAAAGTGACAAAAAACGTCTTCCCTTGGTATAATTATTGTGAAGAGTTACAGATGGTTAATGGGGGTGAACAGCATCACTGTCACTTTTATTCATCAGGATGAAAAGATAACCAGAAAATCACTCCTTCATCTTGTACTAAAAAAGGATGCAGCTGATCATGACTTGACTTTGATGTATGCTGTCTTCATTATGCAGTACAGTGCCTTCAGTTCAGAACCTGGATTATGAATCCTACATTGAAATTTTGTTCTCCTGGATATCTTTAATTCAGAACACTGTAACTCAAAATTTATTTATTTTGATGTCATGTTAGAAAATAATTATTAAAAATAATGTCTGCTTTCATTAAATCTCGATATTATGGAAGTTTAAAGTGAAAAAGTATTGCCATAGGACGCATGTATACATACAGTTAAGTAGGGTGGCAGTAACATTATTTTTTGAGGCTGCTTTTCATAAGCAGAGACTGGGGACATTTTTTAAATCGAAGGAATAATGGATGGAAATACAACAGCTTGCTGAAAAACTGAAGCTTGGGTGAAATTTCATCTTTCAGCAAGACTATTATCCCAAACATAAGGCCAAAGCAACATTGGAGAAGTTTAAAAGCAAACATGAAAATGTCCTACAATAGCCCAGTCAAAGCTCTGATCTCATTCTAGTAGAGAATTTGTGGCACTACATGAAAATTGTCGTGCAGAAGCATCATCCGACTAACCTAAATGACCTGGAGCAATTCTGCCTGGAAAAATGGGCCAAAACTACTCCAGAAGAGTGTGCAAAACTTACCCAAAAATACCCAGGGTTATAGCTGCAAAAGGTGGCTCTACAAAATATTGAAATGCAGAGACTGAATACAAAAAATAATGTTCATGTTTTTTTTCCCCAAGAATATTTTCTAACATAAAATGACACATTAATAACTTCAAAGCATTTGCTCTCTATTTCTGGATCTTATGTGTCCCCAGTTCACAAGCAGGTGATTATTGGCCAAAGGCGTGACAATATAAAGGAATTCATGCTGTCACACTGATAAAAGCTTGCGAAAAGAGATTCTGGCATGTGCCATAATTGCATCTCATTATAGTGGTTCATGCCTCCCAGTAGTCAGACATTATATATGCGTTTAGTTATTTGTCAGATGATTTTGTTTAAGGTGACTTTCATAGTTAGCATGCACATACAAATGTTTGTGTGTAACAAACTACAGACGAAGGTCATTGGTAGAAGCACAGGGTCAGTAACTGGGCTCTATCTTGTGCATTCTTCAGATACGAGGGGCTAAAAATACAAAACACTATAATACAATCATCATGACAATGAACATGCCATCAGCAAGCCTGAAGACCCATAATTATTAATTACACAGTAATATAGACTATTTGACAAGCACAGTGTGCATTTTAAGGGAGGATAAGAAAACAACACATTAACAAAACATTTAAAGATTCAATTTTCATTTCAATATAATGATATAATATATAATTACATTTAATTTCCCTCTTCAAATACACAGATGGAGAATGCTTGTTAACTGCACTGAAAAGCAGATACATTACAAGTCTCAAAATTTGATCTAGCAAAAAATGCTTATTTCAAACAAATTCAGGATACACTGGAAAATAAATCATATTCTAAAGTGGTTTCTAAAGTTCTTGTCTTTGAAGATAATCCTGAGAATCTGCAGATCCTTTCGTATATTTTACTATTACAAAAGCCTTAAGCAATATCGAAGAAATGTCATAATCTGAAACTTACACGAGATGCACTGGCCATTTACAGTGCTACTTAAGGTCAAAAATAGTCCGTACGCAAAGTATTATACTTCCTTTGTAATGTACTTCCTTTACATTAGTTCTGTATCATAGTTACATAACCCGAATTGCCTTGGAAAAAATAAAAACATATATATAACTGGACAAAATAGGATATTGAATGTTATGTAAGTTGCTTTGTATAAAAGCATGTACAAAAATAATGCATGCCTCTTCAAAGCAGCATACAACGATTACCTTATCTTTCTAACTACTTGACCTACCTCCTTGCATAACCATAATGACATTCATGCCACACCTTCTGTTTCCTGCACACCAAGCCAAGGTTGTGCTTCTTGTAACAAGGCGTATACTTTCGTAGGACATCAGCCTAGAATATCTGTAGGCAAAACAAGTGAAGTCCACATACATACCGAGGGTAGGACTCCAACACTGAATGTGATAAACTTACATAAAATTAAGTAAAGATAAATTTAACACATTCATCTCTCTTGGAGTCCCTTTCATAAAGGAATATTTAACAGACCAGAATGTATTACATTTTAGTGTAATTCTTTTTCTCATCAACTTACCGAATCTAAGGGCATTTACATTAATTTAGTTGCATTTGTTGTGGATTTTCTTTAGTCTAAACTCAATATAAAGAGACTAATTCATTTTCAGTGTAAATGTGTCAGCCATTTTAAAGAATTTTTTTGCAAGCGATCGAGCAGGTATGTAGTTCAGTGTGACGTAATTAGTATGAAACTTGCTTTTTCTCACATTTGAGGAATCTCAACTCGCAATAAAATGCAAATGGGGAAGGCATGAGCGCGCAGGAGTGTCACCTTGGCGACTAGCCCGCACAGGTCTGGTGTTACCGGGAAGCCACGCCTCGACACACCTGATGCGTGTGCGCGCGCCGGACGGCCCCGTATTGTTCTGTTCCGCTCGGTTCCTGTTTGCTGGCCGTTCCGGGAAGCGGCTGCGCCTCCCTCCGCTACACGCAGAAAATACTTACGTTAACTAATGCGCATAACCGCCGAAAGTTCTTTTTTTTTTACTCCAGACACTTTTTAACACTCTGTTACCGTCGAGGATTTAGTTTTGGACCTGTTTGTGAGTCTGTGGTATTTGTGTGTTCTCGGCTGTTGATATCTGAACTGGGATAAAAGGGGGGGATAAAGGGAAAGGAAAACTTTGACGGAATTTGTCATTCCACCATTTTGAGGCGTCCGCCCTTTCCAAGTTTCTCACCCGTTTTGTGTTCGGTAAGTTTGTCCATTCCGTATGTTTTTAATCATGTTACTGAAATGAATTATAACTAAGTAATTAGGCATTTTTTGGTTAATAGATAGGTAGTGGTTGGAAAACACTCGATAGTTTTGGTGCACTATTTGTGAGGTACAGAGGGACTAAGGAGTTTTCTAACCCGACTTAAATTGTATTGTTTTTTATCTGTTGTTTGGCGTTATTGGCAATAATGTGGTTTTCTGCGTTATGCCTAAGTAGACACAGTGAGTGAAAACAGTTTGTCTTATTAATTAAGCTGGGATAGCTGTACTGTGCAGTTGTTTGTGGCGTTTTCTCGGGCGTATCGAATTTTTGCTGGACTTTTGTCTAAGTTGGATAGTTTTCTTTTCTTAATTATATAAGTAGAACTAAAAGCGAATTTGATTGTTCATTTGGTGGACCTTAAATTTTAGTTTGGTTATTAAATGGCCGTGTAGCTGGAGTTTAAAACGTGTTTCATGCATAATTTGTGCGTTTGTTTGTAGTGGGGAGATCAGGTTTCCCTACTTTCTAGAAAGCGGGTTAATCCTAATAATTGGGCAACTGTGGATTTCGCAATTTGTGTTGTGGGTGTGGGGTTAAATCCTGGCTAACGTATCTCAAAATCTTTCGTTATGAAAGCGAGCAGTTGAGTGCGACTGCGGAAATAGTATTAAAACGTTTTAGAGAGAAACTGTCCTACACAGTAAACGGAACGTCCACGTGCCTTACACGGCTATATGTAAATGTGTGTAAAGTGTACAAACTGGAGGTGTGGGTTATAATAGTTTTTGTAAGTTTTAAATATGAAAAACTGGTTAAGATTCGTTCTTCTGCGTAAAGTGTTCATTTACATGCGGGTGTGGCCCGCAGGCGTGGGATCGGCCTTCGCTGCTTCGACACGTATGAGTGTAGAAGCGAGATTTGTTTTTTTGTATTAAGATATTCAGAAACTTGGATCTTTTAAATTACTTATCACCTATTAATGGTGACGTAGGTGTCTGCCCTTCCTCTTATGTTGATAGAGCTAATCCTGTTAAGGGGTCGAGCATGTGTCATAGTTGGAAAGGCTGACCTCACTCTGGTTTTCCTGCTTGCATTTATTCATTAGGGGAGGAGTAAACAGCATTGATTCCTGTTCCGTCTGACCGTACTTTTATGGGCGTTTTTGGATTTGTATTATAGTTGTGTATAGCTCAGTTTAAATCGAGAATGCTTATCGGCCTGTTACGGCCGCCTTTTAAAGTTATTTTGTGACACGTGATGCCTGTTATCACTGCAGTGTTTAATATGTAAATTCGGAATAACTAATCTTGAAATGACTAAATGGGTATTTTGGCATTTTATGGATGTCCTTTTGACATCCATATGACTCTTAAACCTGCTTAGAGTAATTGGCCATGCTTTTTCTTAAGGCAGTTTAAATCATAGTGGTATTTTATTTGGGCCTGAATACATTATGGAAAATGAGTTGTCTCACAGCTGATGTCCAGCAGTTTAGGAATATTTAGTGTGACTATAAATGATTCAATAATAGTTGCATCTTGGTCGTCAGACATTTCTCTGAATAACACCCCCCACCCCCAGTAACCCATTAACATGTTAAAAGTTAGCTTTACAGGCAGTTTTGAAATGTAGCATTCATTTTGGCTAGACTCTAGCAAAATAGATGTCCTGTCATACCACAGATGAGTTATCTCAGTCGGGAATAGCGACAGCTGTACAACCTTCCAGGGTTTGCTGATTTCTTTGGGGTAGTCAGTGCCTGACTGAAAATGGGTAGTAAACCAGTAGTCAGGTTTAACACACAAAAGAGCAAAAACACTGCCTTACGTACAACCCAATTTCCAAAAAAAACTTGGGACGCTGGGTAAATATTTGTTATATGACAAATATGCTCATATTGCTGGCATCGAATTCAAATTGACCATATATCGTGATTCAAAATTTCTCAGTTTTAACATTTAATCTCAGTTTTGAGATTCTCACATTTTTGTTCTCAATTTTGTATTCAATTAAACATGGGTTTATATGATTTGCAAATCATTACTGTTTCTATTTTGTAGAGTGACCCAACTTTTTTGGAACCAGTTGTAGTTAATTTCTGAAAATGTTAGTTACCATTTTTAATTTTAATGCATTTTCCCCTCTGACAATTACATTCTCAGAGCTTACGTCAGGTTATGCAAGTCATGTACAACTATTTATTCAGCATTCTGCTGGTTTCGGTTTTTGACGTGTCTTAACTTGAATTCCCCTCCCATGCAGCCTTTCAGCTGTAGCTGTTTTCTGAGTATGTTGGATTCCTCTGGGATTTTTATTCTCTATAATATCAGTCTGACCATACATGCATTAACACAAGGCTAAACTGGTTGTTTTCTTTATTATATTAATAAGCTATAATAAACTCGATTTAATGTTCATATCCAGCAGAAATATGAAGTCAAGTGTTATCTTCAGTGAAAGGTAATAAACAATTTTCATTTTCCTTAGAATCGGCGTGAAAGAATGACAAGCATTAACACACCCAATATTAATTTCAAATGGGATCCAAAAAGCTTGGAGATCCGCACATTGGCTGTGGAGAGACTCCTTGAGCCCTTGGTTACTCAGGTAAGAGTTGTCTTTAATATTTGCCCAGTTCTCTGTGCATCACTTTTATAAACAAATTATAGCAAAGAACTGAAATTCTTTTATAGTCTTTTTAATTGAATTTCAGTTCCATTCTCCTTATTTTATTAGTGGTATGCTTCAGTACCAAGTTCTTGGGTTTGTGTTTTATTTTTAAAATTTAATTGTTCACTAGGTCACCACACTGGTGAACACCAGCAACAAAGGACCATCCAATAAGAAGAAGGGTCGCTCCAAGAAGGCGCACGTCCTTGCTGCTTCAGTAGAAACAGCCACGCTGAATTTCCTTGAAAAAGGAGACAAGATTGCAAAGGAGAGCCAGTTTCTCAAGGATGAGCTTACTGAAGCAGTGGAAGATGTGCGCAAACAAGGTAACTGCAGGTCATTGTGGCAATAGTTTTAACTATCATCAGTGTGTGTGGTACACAGATCAATTAAATAGGCCATCACTCTTAATTATGCTTATTGGCAGTAGAAGTGCCTAGATTTGAAGGTTTATTCAGATTGTTTGGAAATAATGCTTTTGTTTAAGGAATATTTGGGTATTTTGGTGACCTTACTAAGCCGTTCTCTCCTTCCGCTGTACCTAGTGTCTGTGTAAGGGTCGGCTTATGGGTGCATTACTCTTTCTTTCCTATTAAATGGTGCAGCTAATGCCTGATGCATTATTCTTCCTGTAAATGTAAAGAATTTCTGCATGTTCTGCCTGGCACATTTGTGGCGCATGTGTTAAGACTACTGAGGAAGCTGTCTGCCACATTGAAAAGTGTCATATCTCAGCCTATTGCATAGCTGCCTCCCTGGAAGGTCTTGTTTTCTTAACCACTGTCTTATCTGTATGATGTGCTATGCGACCTGTGCTGCCTGTGGTTCCCCCCCCCCTCCCCCTACACCTTTCTTGAAATCCCTCTTATGAGTGGTTGCAAGTAGCTGACAGGCTGTACTGGAATGTCTGATTGATTCTGGCACACTTTTGTCTGGCTGGAATTCAAAGACTGGTGTATGAGAGTGGGCTGTGCAGTGGCTGTGCAGCCATGTGTGGTTGGACTGATAATGCTGCCATTGAGTTTTGCTAAACCTCTTCCAGAATGAATGAGTCTCTCCGCACCCAGCTGTGGTTTAACAGCTGTGTATAATCAGCATACTAAATATAGTTGTAGTGTAATATGTGAGGTTGTTTCTAATATACTTTAAATTCTGGTTTTTAAATGATCAATGTAAATGCTTGCATTTCAGCATAAATTGTAGGTTTTATATTTCCTATAACTCAAATGTTTGCATTCAATTGCTTTGATTTTTTTTTTCCTGTGCTTTACTGGATTTGACAGGTTTTCTCCTTTTCTCACACGTAGTGACAGTTTTAAAATGACCTGTTAATTTGCTGGCGTTTGTTTATTAGGCTGCTTTTATTCTTTCACTAAATGAACTCACTGCTTATATCTTAGAAAGCAGTGAAAACTTGTCATTTGCCTGGAGGTATTACACAGCAGGAGATGAATTCCTGTTTGAGGGACTTGGGGACATTGTGGAATGTCCATCCCTTCCTGAGTTTCCTTTGTGTTATCGTGCGCACTAAGGTCTTGAGTAGGCTTTAGTGAAACGTGCAGGCTGCAATCTTCTCCAGCCAGGCATTCTAATGTGTTCCGGCTGTTACTCATTCCAGGCCTGTTCACGTCTATAATTGTCTTTTGCAGTTAACTTGCTGCCTGTCCTCACTGTACTTTTGTGCCTTTGGACAGCTGCTATCAGAGGAACATTCTTGTGTACTGAATTTCCTTTGCTTAAGTCCAGCCTGAGAATGGGCTCTTTTGGAGGGGAAAAAAAATGAAATGAACTTTCAGCATAACGTTGGTTCAGTGAGGGCAAATAAAGCGTCAAATCTAGTGTCTGAGTAATGTTTTTCCCTGCATGTCTCTGACAATAAGCTTATAATACAAAGGCCATAAGATGCTTTTTCCATCGCTGCCTGCTTGCAATGAAATTTTCCTACCAGCTCCACTCAGATTGATGGAACTGATGTATATTTAGGCCCTTGTGGTGGGTAATTTGATTTCGTACTCTTAGTTGGTGTTGCATTTGTTAGCTTTTTAATTTAAAATGTGACAACCGTTGTAAGTGTTTGGTAGTGCACCGCTGCATTCGTCACCCATAGTTAGCACACTCTCCAGGGAGGTGTAGCACTAATTGGCAGAGCAAAGCACATGTTATGCTGTCTAAAATGACATGGTTCTGTGACACGATTTTTCAGCTTTTACGGCTTAGATTTTGATAGTGTGCCCTTCATTAGAATTATAACTTTGCATGTCAGTCTCCTAAATTGGTATATTGAGTCATAGTGCTCCCGTTTGTCTGCAGGGGAGTCGATGAAGACTGCCTCTGGAGAGTTTGCTGAAGACCCTTGCTCCTCTGTGAAGCGGGGGAACATGGTGCGGGCCGCTCGGGCCCTGCTCTCCGCCGTCACTCACCTGCTGGTTTTGGCCGACATGGCTGATGTCTACAAGCTACTGGTGCAACTCAAACTGGTAGGAGAACAGCAAACTTTGCCCTAACAAGCTTTCCTGTATGTCAGTGTTTGTCATCTTTAGCCATCTCTTCATTGCTGGTACTGTCTCAAGGCTTTTTTTTTTCCCCTTTTTTTTTGGGAGGACCTCTGATGTGAAATCGGATACAGCTTTTGCAATTTTTTGCTCCCAGCTCACAGAAAAGGGCAAAACTGTCAGTCTGTCATTCCTCAGGAAACTTTGCTTTATTTAGGGTGTTCACTAGCCAGTTGTCTACTTGTGATAGGTTGTGTGTGTACATACACACATTCATGCCTTTTTTCCCCTCTGGATTTTGACTAATTAGAATAGTATCACCTGATGTTAAGTTAGGCATCTTGTTGATGGTTTGGTTTTTATTCCACTCTTGCATTTCTTGCAGCATTCTTTGCACTAGCACACTTATTGTACAGTTGTCAACCAAGCAAGCATACCAGCTAAACTGCATAACATTCTCTCTTCCTAGCTGTATTTTTATCTACTGCCTGTGTGTTGAGCTGTCATGTAAGTTTACTGGAAAGTCATTGACTACTGGAGTGTGTGTGTATTGGGGGTTATACTTGGCCGATCAAACAGATTTTGATTTCTGTGAGTATGACAGTGTTGGTTCTTCAATTCTCACTTTGGCTCACTGATATGTTTCTCTAATTTTGATTTTTTTTATTTTTTTTTGCTCTTGTCCAAGCCACTGGGTGTATTGAGGTGCAGTTTTAGGACAAATTCTGATTTTCATGAAAGGTCGATGAATTGAGCAATTGTGTGTCAGCTGCAGTTAGTCATGTCAGGACAAATGGGGAACTGTGCAATTTACTGCTAATATCCGCATAGTATGTTGCATGAAAAATGCTTTCAGAGGGATTTTGGAGTATTGGGCAGGAGTCCAGTTATGTTAAAGAAGCTCTTCCTTTTTTTGTAGGTGGAGGAGAACCTGGCAAAGGTCCGCAATGCAGGCACTGAGCAGGATCTTGGCATTTACTATAAAGCTCTGAAGCCTGAAGTGGATAAACTGAATGCAATGGCAGGCAAGAGACAGCAGGTATGGTCTTACTGAGGTGGATGGGTAGCTTCAAACATGGGGAGCCTGCCACATGAAAAGCTACCTGTGGGCACTACTGCACTGTCTTCCCAGGACTCCTGGGATTTGTCTCACACCCCCCGGTTCTCAGATCTGGATTGCTCATGCTTGTATGCCATTACACTCTCCTGGTCCCTCTTCAGAAATAAGCCTCTTACTGTAACAGGTCTAACCAGATCCTGTAACGGAAAATGAGATTTGGGCATCGGGGTTTGCTGCAGTTGACAGCGATTTTACATTTCATAAAACGGCTTTGTGACAACACATCACTGAGCGTCACACCAGTAACCTGTGGCAGGTCAAAGGAGATCCCCCCCCCCCTCCCCAACGTAGAGCTGCTTCAAACACATGCATCAGGTTGCTTATTGGGGGAGGGGTAGTGTTTCTCTGTCCTAGGTACTTGTTTACAAGTGGCATACAGGCAAATCTTTTAATTACATCTCCAGTCAATACAGTACTACTTTACCGTTTAAACTTCTGTGATTTCCCTTTCTGATTGATTTCCAATGCATTTCCAATAATGCGATTTATGAATATTAAGGTATTTACACTTGCTTTCTGTAGAGTATTTGGCTGCTGGGGAAGTGGACGATATCAGGTTCCTGCTTGTATGTCAAACATCTGACAAATCTCAGCTGATGTTTTCATCCCTTTGATTGTCTTCGATACACATTCAGCCAGGCTGAGTGAATCGGAGGCCTGCTTTGTAGACCCCTGTTGGGAGATGTCTGTGTTGCTAATATCGTGCGGATATTATGAATTATTGGGCAAAGCTTTTGGCAGAAAGTAATATGCATAACTGACAGCTGCTTTGCTCCCTTAGTCAAATGATTAAAAAGAGCAGCTAGGAACAGGGCCACTCACACAAAGAAATAGGCCAAATAACCTTTGAGTAAATGGCTCCTATTTTGCTTATCTTGTTTCTGCAGTGAAATGAATGTTTTATGGTTTGTTTTGAATCAGGCTGCAGAGGATAATTTGTATCCTTTGATTTATTATTGTAATTGTTTCCGAATATGAACTTTGAATCATTCCTTATCTGGTACATCTTACCTAATGTAGGCAGGTTGGTTGGATGCTGTTAGGCATGAATGACATAAAATAGGATTTTTTTTTTTCTTTTTTCTGGAACAGGAGCTGAAGGACGTCCACCACAAGGACCAGATGGCGGCAGCGCGCGGAGTGCTACAGCGCAACATCCCCATGCTGTACACGGCTTCACGTGCCTGTTTGCAGCATCCCGACGTGGCTGCCTACAAGGCCAACCGTGACCTCATCTATAGGCAGCTCCAGAGTGCCGTCTCTGGCATCTCCAACGCCGCCCAGGCCGCCGAATACTCCGCGAATCAGCAGGCAGGGGGAGGAGAGCTGGCCCACGCCCTCAACAACTTTGATGTAAGTAATCCTGGTTTGGGTGTCTTGAATTTCGTCGTTTTCAATCAAGCCTAACATTCAGATGTGTTGAGTTTTTGAGCTTTTCTTTTTTGAAATGCCTGACACTTCGTAGTCTGTGCAAAATGGTTTTTACAGAAAGGTGGGAAGAACGCACTGCTCGCGTGCCAGCAAATGAGGCAATGTGTTTGTGCTATTGGTAATGGGTGATGTTCAGTCAATACATTTCATAAACGTTACTGCTCATCTTTAACAGCTGAATACAGTGAGGTTTCCCTGTATAAATACAGGTGTGCTTTTTAAGTGTAAGCAGCCTTAGTTTTACAGAGTAGTCTGAATTCTTTTCCTTGAAGCTCTCCTAAACTCTGTGCAACATTCTTCAGTGTCACTGGGGTTATAATTATGCAGTGGAGGGATTCCTCTTCAAAGCTCCTCTGATGTTTAAGGAATGGAACAGATGAGCAGTCTAGGCCCTTAGAGCCCCTAGTGGCTTGTCGTTATGCTTAGCCCCTTTTTGCAGTCTTCATAATTCCGTTTTGAGTATATTTGGATGCTTTTGAATTAATGCAGAGTTTAATTGCAAGCACGAAGCATGTGTGCTAGCGGTTTCATTGTGAATCACTGTTTGCTTTTCTCCTTCCAGTCTTACTCTACAATTATTCTGATGATTCCTGAATGAGGAATCTTTATGAATCTTTCAAGTGTGTCTTGTATGCCTCCTGTGTAATGTTTGAAGCGGAAAGCTGTGAAATTATCCATCAAGCTGAGCTTCTTTCATTCCTCAGTCCTTGCCGCAAACCGGGCCTTAACATCTCAAGATCATTTGAGTTCTTTTTTTTTTTTTTTTTACGATTGCAATTTTTATTATTAGCCATGATATCTGGTGTTAAATTAGTAATGGTAATTGTTAATGCAATTTTAGACATGATATTTAAGTCTGCACTGTGTTTTTACAGAGATTAAGGAGAAGCCTTCTAAGTTTTCAAAATTACTTTTGGCCGTTGTATTAAAATTAGGGTTTGATTCAGGCTTAGCATGTTCTAGTGAACCCGGCCTTTTTAACTGAATGTTCTCTCCCTCCTCGTTACTGCTACTTGCTGAGGGAAATGGAACATGGCTGATCATTGTGGCATTTTTCCTTTTGAAAAGTGGTAGTGCTAGCAGGGTATAGATCAGTGTTTCCCAATCCAGTCCTCGGGAACCCCCAGACACCCACTGCCGGGGGCTCGGAGGGAGCAAAAACGTGAGAAACCCTGGTATAGATGATGGATGGATGGCATCTGGTACTATTAGTGTATGGGGATTTGTAGTTAAACTTTTTCATCCAGGCTTAGTGAATTTCCATCTGATTCTCTGAATCTAGCTTTAATTTGATGACTTGATGGATTTGGAGTAGGTGTGTGGGACTTCTGTGTCAAATTTACTTGAGTATGTAAGTATAAAGTTTCACAGTACAGAGAGGATGTGAAAAATGACACGTTGCTGGGAGGTCTGTCAAAAAACAGACAAAAATGTGGAAAGGGTGAAAATGCTGGTCATATCTGCCCAGTGTTGGACAGTCGTGCTGGTAGCAGGCTAGTTGAATGTAATGCTTTTATGGAAAGGGGAAGCAGACACATGGCTATGCTTGATGTGCTGTAGACTGACACTGGGTCCCAATGAGAGAGTGCCCTCCAGCTCAGTCTTACTTCAAATGTCAGCTGCTAAGTGGGGAAATCATTCAGTCAAGAAGCAAGAAAAATTAGTGCTCTTGAACTAAGCTTGATGAAGCAGAAATGGTCCATATTTAATCCATTTCGGATAATTCAACAAGATGCCTAAGCATAAAGATGATTCAGATGCTCTGTGTTTTACTGGTGGTGGTATTTGAACACAACTTTAAAAATGCTTTAATATATAAAATTTCATTCATTTCTGCTTGAGAGTGCTTAACACCTTAGTCATAGCAGTCTGCGTGTCTTGCTTTCCGGTGACTGTGCAGACGTGAGATTTTTTTCTGGATCGTTTCCTGGTTCCCAATTTCAAGCCGATAGAACTTTGAATGAGTCATCGTTCAGTTTCCCTGGAAACATGACGTACAAGCAAAGAATGCCAGACGAGATAAAGCTAATGAAGTGTGAGCGGGGTGGCTTTTTATTTTTTATTTTAAATATAAAACTGTTGAATTGGTTAGCCTTTTACCTGGTGTGTGGAAACATCAGAGGATTTTCAAGTTTGAATTTGGTTGCTTGTAGCGAGAGAACACTTCATGTCTGCACGCCCCCATTGCATGTTACAATTGTATATAAGTGCTTGTGGGGGCTATGAAAAGAAGAACCTGGGTCTGTTTTTGATGGTATGAAGGTTGATGAATCTCGACCGATTTGGGCTTGACACTTGTCTGAAAGTGCATTTTGGAATAGGTGTTAATCTTTTTAACCCTTTTTTTTCCTGTTCTAACTCACCCATAATAAACATTAGTTAAAAGCCTCATTGTATTCAGCATGTTAGTTGCGTGTTTTGGCTTTTGTGTGTGTGTGGTATATCCTTTAGTGACATGCTGTTAGGTGTATTTAGCATAATTGCTCAAGTAAATTGCTAACAATGAAGTGAACCCTCCAACCTAAAAAATATTGGAACCCTTTTTAAATAGTTTGGACAGTAAAGGGTCAAAGAGTTGTTAGTGTCCTCTGAACTGGGTGGAGCTGGAGACATGGCTTCATGCATCTCAGATGAGACCGTGGTTGAAGGTGTCTCCTATGTGTGCCGGCCCTTTAAGAGCACAGCCTTCATTATTCACCATGGAGTACTGTATAGATTCCCCCACCGCCCCCCACTACCGCTTCCAAGGTCTCTGTCCTATGTCCTTTTAAGGTTTATTCAATCTACCAGCCTGTTCCACCTTTATTACACTCTCCACCCTCCCCACCAAACTGCAGAGAGGAACAACACAACAGTGTGGGAAGTCATCTTTGGGAAGTCATCAACCTTTTTTTGTGAACAAAATGCAAAGTGGCTTTGTGCGGTGGCAGGTGGTGTTGTTGCAGTAGCGTAATTTTAAATGGCTGATCTTTTGAATAAGTGGAAAATATGAGGACAGCACTAGCTGCTGCTGTTTCGGCCTGTTTAATGGCCTTCTGAGTTAGTGTCAATGCACTGGCAGAGTAATTTGCTGTCAGCTATCTTCCATTTGCTATTTTGTAGTGAATTCTCTTAGGATTGGGAGACTTCATAGATTGAATGATGAATTTAATGAAAACTGTCATCCGGATGATTATATGTGGGCTATTAAAAGCAATTGTCTCCTGTTAATGTCAAGTTGGGATTATTTTGGTCAAATAGTCTTCTAGTACCATTCTGCTCGCTGTCCCAAGGCCAACCAAGCAATCAGTCTGGATATCTGTTGTAAGAGTCTCTTATCAAACTGCAGTTTAGAGGTTAATTCCCCATTGCTTAAATGCCGTTCACTTTATCTGACCACTTCTCATGTCGCTGGATTTGCTGTATTTTTCATTTTTTGAGTCTTAAACCTTTTTTTTTTTTTATTTAAAAAAAAATGTTTTATTGATGAAAAGAATATACTTTTCAGTATTTAGTCCCATAGCTTCCTAAAGTGGCATGAGTTTTGTACAAATTTGAGCTAAGAATGTCACCACCCGAAATTCATGAGCTGAATTTAATGCATTAATTCCTCCCCCCCCTCTTTTATCTTAATAGGCGTTTTATAGCACAGGAACTTTTTTCTGGAAATGGAACCTTTTTCCAGAACCAGGGACTTTTGTGTTCAAACCGTAGGGACTTGGCCTGATTTTGTAGTTCCTCAGAGGCAATTCCAGAACCTTTTTTAGTACCTAGTTTAGTCTAGGTACTTTTCGTTTGAACAGGAACTACTAGAGAGGCTATCAGTGATCCCCTGCCTATCGCGGAAGTTAAGTTCCAGACCCATCAGCGATAAGTGAAAATCCGCCATATAGAAAGATCATATAAATATTTTTAAGTAGTTTAAGCCTTAACTCGCAGGGCTTAAAACAAAACAAAAAGTTCACAAAAAGTTTGCTCACAACAATTGGACCACAAGCAAGGTACGCCATAGGCAAAGAACTGACCCGTTGGGAAAATCTGCGATATAGCGGGGGTGCCATAGCTGAACCGCGATATAGCGGGGGATCACTTTACAGCAATAGCTTGCTGACTGGTTGGTCTTGGAAGTTGCATGGAAGTACAGAAAAAGAGATGCAGCGGAGCAAAAATTGAAATTGTGTTCGTGCCCCAGTTACATTTAATACTTTGTATTTGCACCTGAGTATAATAATGAACCTCTGGGACATTATACATCTTGGAAGCCTGTACATACTAGTTTCTTGTAATCAGAATTTCCTGTTCTAGTGTTTGATTTTTTTTTCTAGCAGTGTTGTTGGTGTTTAGGAGCTCCTTATGGATGTAAGTCCACCCAACAAAGTATAATTTCCTACATTTGCGGAGTTTGTCATAGCCTGGCCTTGGAATTCATTTTCAGTACTTGGGCAGCTGCTATAGAAAAGTAAGGGATCAGGAGTTATTAAACTCTTTTCATAAAGTCACTGTCTGTTCTGGATGGCTGCTTGACTGATAAGCTTTTCATAACCTCGTGCACACTCATGTTTTTAAATTGCTTGCTCCCTGTAATGTTGGCTGCTGCCCCCCCCCCCCCCCCAATGCTAAGGTCTATGCCTTATTCCATGCTAAGTCTAAAATTAACATACAGCTAATGGGTTTTCTTAAGTAATCCAATGTGCAGAGCAAATCTGAATCTCAAATGGGTCAAGCTGCAGCACTGAACATGGAACTAAGTTTTTTTTTTTTTTTTTTTATGGTGATTATATCCTAATGTTTCTTAGATTGTCACGTTGCTGGTGTTTGCTGCATCTTTGTTTTAAATATACAGTTACCTTCATGTCGAGTTCAAATGTATCGTTTGCATTTATCGGCTATTTCCTAATCTTTCTTGATAAACCTGAATTGAAACAAAGTAAAATCTAGAATTCAGTTGCTTGCCTGCACACCTGCCAAACAAGTCAGTCTGTAAAGTTACTGCTGGCAGCAGTAAATGCAGTGTTCCTCCAGCTGGCTCGGCACGCTTGCTTTTTGCCATGTGACCAGGAGCGTAAAGAGCAATTGGATTGGTGGAGTGTCATATTTGCGCACACTTGCCAACAAAATAAATATTTATCTACTGCCTCTTCCTTCCTCTTTCATAGAAAGAGGGATAATCCACTGTAAATGTTAAATTATCAATGTCTCTCAGGACTCGCTGGGAACAAATTGCTGTTCAGAATATGTAATGAGTTATTCGTAATGCAAACGGCTTCTCTGAAAGTCTTTACCCCACCTTCTTCCTGGTACAGAAACAAATCATCGTGGACCCTATGAGCTTCAGCGAGGACCGATTCCGCCCTTCCCTGGAGGAGCGATTGGAGAGCATCATCAGTGGGGCCGCCCTCATGGCCGACTCGTCCTGCACACGCGATGACCGCAGGGAGCGCATAGTGGCAGAGTGCAATTCTGTCAGGCAGGCGCTGCAAGACCTGCTCTCAGAATACATGGGCAACGTAAGTCATTCTCAGTCTGTCTTCCTTCTCCATGCAGTCTCACGTGTTTGTCTCCCAGAACTCGCACTACCAGTCTGCAGTTTCAGGTGCAGTCCTCTAGTGAAGCTCAAGCCTGAATGAAACCGCCAGGGGTCTCTCTTTATACCCTCAGTTTAACTTGTGTATATAAATACGACTCCCGGGTTTTGTTCAAGGGCCGTGGTATGTCATTGGTGGAGAATCTCTATTTTAGACCCCTTGTTAAAATGTAGCGCTCCTACCACTTTTCAAGCATTGCTGATTTGTGCTCAGCCCTTTATACTTGTGACTAATCCTGCAAGAATAACTCAAGATGAGTAACCATTTACTTTAGATCAGTTTCATACTTAGTGTTTTGGCTTACCCATGGAGTGATTTTATCAAAAGCCCTCTATGCGTATTGAGAGATCAGCTTGCTCATTAGGGGGAAAAAAAGCTGGATTTGGTATAGAAAGCACAGCTCTTTGCAGTCTCTGGTCAGCCTGCAGGCACCTACGGGGTAACGTTTGTCACCTTGTTTTTGTGCCTAATTGGTTTTAATTAGTTTTTTTAATTTTAATTTTGATTTTGTTCGGTGAAGGACTGGCCTCCCATATTTCAGGTGTTGAGAGAGCTGCCTTATTTAAGGCATATAACATTTTGCAGTTTTATCACTTTGCCAGATTTTACAATCACCGCATGCTCATATTCGGCTCCTTGGTTTGCAGCTGAAATATGAGGTGCAGTTAGGAACCTTCTGTCACATTACTATTGGGCTTTTTTTTAGTGTTACTTGCATATTATGTATTCTATTAGAATGCTACTCAATGCAGTCTGAGTAAAGCAGCTGCAGTGATGACCATAGTCTGCCTGTCATGCCCATCATAAGAACTTCAGCCTGTGAGAGCAATGTGGGCACATTGAAGATGAGATGCTCCGGCATGCTGCTGTATAATACTAAGTAGCTAGTTTATTAGGTACCCTGCCTATTATTATCCTAAGGCCAACTCCAGACAGCAGATCATGTGATTGCTTACTGTAGGTATGCAGCAGCAAACATGGTTTCATTATCGTTTTGGCTAACTTTTAGCATGGCTAAGATGCATGCTGTAAATGATCATTGGACAACCAGCTGTCTTTGGTGAGATTTTCATGCATTACAATGTCTAGAATTTACAGAGTATTGTACTATAAAGTAAAAATATTGGTAACGGTTGTTCCATAAGTAAAAACGCCTTGTTAATGAGAGCTGTCCATGGAGAAAGGTGAACAGGAAGGTCGCAAATGGACAAACTAAGCTTTGTGCTGTCAGGCATTTTGTTTACTCTGGTTCTAGAAGCAAATGTGAGTATGGCACAATATTAACTAGGGGTACCCAATAAACCGGCCATTGAGTGCATGTACTGAAGAATTTTAGACTTTCACGAAGATGCAGCTTGTATTCAGTCCCTCTAAACTTCGCATGCATTTTAAGTGAGATGTAAGATGTTAAGGCCCTTGAATATCCCCCTTCCTGTCCTCTGGAGATGGTGGTTTACTGTGTCTATGGTGCTTAGCACATGGGTATTTAAGGTAACATTTTTGTTTATTCGTGTACATTGGATGGCAGGGATAGAAAGAGAAAAACCCCAAAATGGTTGTACTGGAAGACTGCCCAGATACAGCAGAGTGAGTAACTGCCTCCAAGTTCATAAGTCCTTGATATCTCCATTGGGTTTACTCACTCTTTTGGGCTGTCTTTAACTGACCCTTTAAAAGGTTTTAGATTATAGGTTTTGATTGATTACAAGTAAATGTTTGTACTTAAGCGTGTTAGATGTAAAGTTTTAAGTCGTTCAGTGTCTGGAGTGAAAGATTTAGAAATCCTTGTTTAAATTTCCACTCCACTCATGTTTCATCTAGGGCTGCATAAAATCATTACCTGCTCACTTCGTTAAATCAAGTAATCAACTAATCCATGGGTTGGGCCAAAAGAAACAAAAGTGCAAATACTTTATTTAAACAGGTATTTAAGGCGATTGTAATAAACTTCATACAGTGCAGTCAACCTCTATCTGGCAAAGTGGTATAGAAACAAAGATCTACTGTCTTCACCATAATTAGCTTGCTAACAATTGCGTATACCGCAGTATATGAGATTTTAATGGTATATTCAAAAACAATCCTGTTGACACATTTTGTTAGCTGTTTTTACTATTGATTTACCAACATCCTTGAGTAGTTCTTGCAGCCGTAGTTTGAGCCCTTCAAAGTTAATTTATCCCATTCTGTAAATGTGAAGTTTTGTATACAGCAGTCAGTTGATGCGCCTACCATCTGTACCCTTAAATTGGATTTCAAGTAAAGGCCAATTTTAAGATGATTGATAAAGATGCTATGAAATGTGGAGATAGTGAAATCTAACACTTAAAAAAAAAAATATCCATTGGCAAAGAAACACCAGACGAGTACTAATTGATTTAATAGTCTCCATTCATCTTCTAGCCACTTATTTTGATCAGGCAGCACTTCAGACAAGGCTGACAGGCACCATAGACAGGATGCTGGTCTGTTTCAGGGCACATGCATAACATTAATGCATACATCATGGGCACAGAAAGATTCGAACCCGTTCCCTGGAGATGTTAGGTGACTGCTACCCACTGACCCACCCTCTAACAGTCGCACCTTTTCAGTTTCACACGATCTGGTAGTCTCTGGATGGTTTCGAATATAAAGGTATATTGTCTGTTTATTGGTAGTGTTATGAAGCATATTATTCCTTTAGTTTAGAAAATGTATATACCTTCTCAGTCACATGGTTATTGCCACCAAGATCCATATCTATCTGTGTCTTGAGGACTTCTGGAAAGAATTCACTGCCTGAAGTATTTTATCACCACATAGTGTCCTATTTTTGCTTTTGGCTTTTTTCAGTAGTTTTCTGTACTAATTTATGACCAGTGAATTGTTCATCCCAGTCCCTAAAGGCATAGAAGACCCTGCCGATGTCTTACCTAAATGTTGGCATCACCTCTACCTAAATTTATATGAAGAAAACAGTCTAGTAAATCACTGCTAAAGTGTGACGCAGTGCTGTGCTCTTGCTAGGTGAGTTGCATTCATCTTGACTGTAATGAGTTTCATGCACGGTAGGTTTTCAATATGCAGAAAAGCATCAACGGCACCATTTCTTTAATTTCTAACCTTTTAAATTTGAGATGTCAGTTCTGCTCCTCTGTTTTGGGCTCGCTATGATCAAAATGTAAGGGCTTGGACTAGGGCTGCAACTATTAAATATTTTAGTTCACATTTGGCGTTTTTTGTGGACCCAGCATTTATTTTTGTTTGTTCACTCACTAGTGTTTGTGTTTGACTGGGGCCACATTGCCGTCAATGTGAACTGCACGAGTTTCAGGGGGCTACAGTACTTGGGTATCTACCCGTCATTAACCAGGTATTCAAATGTTTGTTTTTTTTTTAAATATATTTGAATATTGAATATTTTCTATAGCACTAGCTTGGGCTTAAGTGCTGTGACTGGTCTCCCACCTTCCTGTAACTGAGCAGAACTTCCAGTACACTTCATGCTGTCATTTCAGTGTGCCTACTAGCCTGGGACCAGAACCGTATTTCCATAATATCTTTCCCATTCTTTTCCCTATGTATTGATGCATAAACTAGTTTTTATTGTGCTGCACAAGTGAGTGATAAAATGCTGAATATTTAGTTTAAGCACTTGTAGTTGTCACTAGGGCTGGGTAATATGATGATATCGGTGGCATCTGATAAGTAACCTGGTGACTAATTGGTAATCGTCAGGAAAATATATTTATTTTTTTTTTTAAATCCACAATTTTATTATATAAATTAAAAATATGGGGAAGAGTGAAGAATGCTGTGGACTGAGGGCCACAAGTTACCAATGTTGTCGCCCCCCCCCCCCCCAATTTTACCACTGCCTGTTATCTGGGGGCTTATCCATGTTTTGTTTTCATGCTTTCATGTTCTTTTACCTAAAGTTCACTGTTTGTGCATGCTCCTGTGGTATTTCTGTATGTGCGTGCCTTTTTGCAGAATTGACACAGCAGTTTGTACTTTATTCTCCTGCAAATTGGTGCATTTTAACCTGATGAATCTCTTGTCCCCACCAACCCACCCACCCCTATCCTCATCGATCGTTTGTGTCCCGAGTAATAGTTGGGATACACATACTTCAAAACGTGTTTTCCACATCCTTGGCCTTTTTGTGCCCCCTGACTTCTGATATCACTCTTCAAGCAGGATTGTCTGGCTGCAGCATCCGGGTAGCACTCCTGAAGTTTGCCCCCAAAGGCATTCAGTCGTTTTCAACTTGCCTTTTGCAGATACCGTTGACTTCTAATGACGGAAGATCCTCCATATCTGAAACATCTGTGTTGTTGCCTGAGCTCCTGGTGTCCTCTGTCCACCCACCCATGGCACTTAAATTGAGCACATTCATAAAATGCTTTCTGTCTTATGAGCCTAGTCAGCCTTTCTACTTTAATGCCCTGGCATTTCTAACATGGATGGAAGTATGAAATCTTTTTTAAAACCTCTAGTTCATTGTGTCTGATGTTTTGGGCCTTGTGCTTATTGAGCAGATTGTCTTCTCACATGTCTCATTCTTTGGCATTAAAAGCCAGAATTTTTGTAATTTGTGGTATCTGGACACGTCTGAGCCTTGATACCTGCAAATGTTCATATTTCTTCAAACTGATACATTTTTGGCGGAAGACCTGGTGTTTGTATAATTAACATTTAATTAGCACCATTGACCATCCGTTATCTTATCCCTTGAAGGGTATTTATTTTAAATTCCAGAGATGTTTAGTATGTAATGTGGTTTTCAGAATGATTTAATTGCATTAACTTAAATTGAATATTTGTGGTGGAAATAGCTATTGAGCAAGTAACTTGATTACATGTCTTGATTTCTCTCCCCCCCCCCTTCCATTTTATGCTAATTGATACCGCTCTTCATTTGACTTGATTGAAGACTT